GGGAGGAGGAGAGGCCAAGCGATGACTTGGTCAAGAGGAATCATGGCCCTTACATAGGTCTGACTGTCGGTTGGTGTCTCCGGGCTGGGGTCCTAAGAACGACGAACACGTTTGGTTAGATACGCTTGTTGATATGGCCAAGAGTCCATGTCAATGGCGTCTGTGTTGGGAGTTTATTTTCCCATCCACCTTCCCTTTTGATTGCTCTTCTAATTACAATCTCATACTCATTGCATCATATGATATTTCGCACCATGTAGCCTGTTTTTTAATATTTTACTTTCTGTAATGTTTAATATCTTATCGTTTGTTCTACGGCACATTCTCTGTGGTGTGTTTCTGACCCTGAGCTTTTGTGTATTTCTAATGATTAACAGCAGAAGAACGCGTAACATTTGCCCATTTTCGAACGGTTTCTCAGTTATGACGTGATCGGCTTAGTAGCGGTTACAGCACTCTTGGTTTTTATTAACTACGCTTTTGTATGTCTGTCAATAAAATGCATGTGGCAAGTTGTACAAGATCACTTATAGCAGAACTTATGCTGGGATGCGATTGTGATATGGTTCATCACAGTCTTTTAACTAATTTTTCGAGCAATCTAGTGACCATGGACACGTAGTGGATCGGTCGATAGTTTACATCTTTCTTTTTGAATCGTGTTATGATGAGTACTTGCATGTGAAATTTTCCCTTGATTGCGAAAGTAGCCAGATTTCACTGTATCAGGCCCCACCAGTTTCATGCTTTCGGAATCCCGTTTTTTTTTGTCATTTCTAGCGAATTTCCTAACTCGATAGAGGTTACTAAAAGGTGTATCCACTTTGCAAGACGTCTGTTTTATACTCTCCATGTTTTCGAGTACATTGTAAGTCTTAAGGCTCATGCAGGTGATGAACGAGGAGCTAAGGGAGTCACACTTGTCAATTCGCTGTCGTAGTGAATCACTCGCCTCATCGGTCATTTCAGTGCTCCAAAGTGAGAGTGGTTTTAATCTCACAGATTAACATTTTGACAAGCTCCCTCGTTTCACGTGTCTTTTTGAAGGCACTGTTCTTTGTTTTTTCCTCGCACCGCTTTTACATACTTAATTTTTTGCGATTAATTCGCGCGTTAACATGATCACAGTAAAAACTTTGGACTTCTTAGATCTCGCCGTCAGTTTTTCAATTTTCTAATCGACTTGCTGTCGTTTTGAGACGCGTTCTGGGACGCGAATGGCATGTTTGTCTGGTTGAACAAGAAAGGCAACAGCACAATTGGTTTGGCAATAACATTGCTCCACAACCGTGCGGACATCGATAGGGTGATCAGTCACCTGATTGAATTAACTTTTTAATGTTCTCAGTTAATCCTTCGGGTTTCACATTGGAAAAAGTGAAGCGAATCTAGTGGTTATTTTGATGCAGAATATGGGTTGAGTTGTTTTGTGATCGTTGCAAGTATAGTTGTCTATCACTTCGATGACTGTATTGGAGACCCCTGTTAAATGTGGCTTACTGGTCGATCTATTTTCTTTGAAGGCCCATTGTGTCCAGCCGCTAGGTCTAGTGAGCGGATGGTTGAGGTTACCAGGTGATCACCAATAAAGTTGCACTCACTACGAATTATGCTTTGTGTCTGTGGCAACCGCGGTGTAAAGTCGAAGGCAATGCTAATATTAGCATTGTTCCGGATTAATGTATTCAGGAAGTTGTAAATTCATTCGGGTAAGCGTATAATGTGGTTCACACGGCTGCTAACCTAAGACTCTCTAGATCGCTATCAATAAGTGTAAATTTTCGATGGAAGTATTCGGTAGATCTTCCTTCTCTTTTATGGCGAACTTTTCGACGTAGATGGAGTCTGGGACTGGGTAAACTCGAACCTTGCGTATCAGAAAATGGCCACTTTATTACACTGTAAGCAGGTTCAGAAAGTACAGTGTATTGCTTATGAATCTCATCTTAATCCGAATGACTAAAAGTGTACTGTGTGTTGGCCTTAAGGACCGAGTTTAGTGAACTTGAAAAGCAATTGCCTTGGTGATGCGGTCTAGTCTAGTGCTAGTAATCACGTGTATGTGGGAAATAATCTGGTACTTGTGAACACCGACAAAACTGGGGAGCACAGAGAGAGTTGGGACCTGGTTTAGTGCTGAACTAGCCCTGTCACCTGATCAGGTTATGGGAAGATTAAGACTTCTGCCAGATCTTTCAAAAGCAGAACTGTATACCAATCCACCCTCGCTCCCATCAGACATGGGTCTCAGAAAACTGATTGATTGTCTATGGTGGTGCAGGAGGGAGACGGGATAAGGAACGTTATCCAGTTATCAAATTTCTTGTTGTTGTTGTTGTTTGTTCTTTGTCTAAATTCACAGTAGACTTGAAGCTTATAGCCAAATTTAACCAAGGGGCATTGCGCAAACAAATGTGCCCGTTCTATGGCCGTCACATCCTTTATTCATTTGGCTACCAGACATTTATCACTCAGCTGTCTCTTTTTTCCGAATGTTTAACACATATGTACGACAAGTCTAACTCAACTGAGCTACCAATGCTAGGCCTTCTAATGGTACCTCTTTGTTCGATTGTTTGGTTGCAGACCTCGTGACTGGTTGATTCACAATGGTACCGGATTTTACCACCCCATGATAGAATATGTTGTGGTGTATCTCGGCATATCACGTTGTCACAATGCCGCAATCTCCTCTGTTACACCAGGCTGACTTCGGTCCTATCACCATCCCACCCGATGATTTAAAATGTCCTACTATGTGAGCCCTGTTTTTGTTCGTGCTTTTTTCGTGCACATGTGTTTTCGGCACTTTTATTGGTTTGTGACGTGAACTGCCCTAGCGATGAGTCTGACCTCTGGATTATCTCAAGTTCGATTGCTTCGTATTTCGTGTGTGTGGTCCATTACATTTCGTTTGCGCATACTGATCTACACCAGCTTCCTCACCCAGTAGCGTTGCTTTTAAGTACAAGCATGACGACTTCATAGTTGGGCTGTCACAAGTTCAAATTGCTTTAGCTGGGGACATTGCAAAGTTTAACGCTGACTCATTGACACGCTCTATAGATAACGCTCCGTATATTCAGGCTCCGCGCATCAATTTTGTGTGGACATTTTAGTCCTTCACATTCCACTTCTGTTACAGGAAGATAGCTTTCACTCCGCACTCAGGCCGAGAGCAGCAGCGCAGCAGTGGATCGATCTACAATTAGAGATCGCATTCGAGTACAGATCGAAATGCGAGTCTATGTGGAATCAACAGCAAATTGGACCATGAACTTGAACCGTTTGATTTGTGTTAATTCCTCTTAATTAGCATCTCCAATTTTGTTGTGTCGGTAGTTACCTACAGCCTTTTTATTGCGCAATGCTCTCATACAGTAGGATCCCTCGGTCCGGCTGTTTTCTTGGCGTTCTCATTTCTTTGCGGTAGAACTGGTTGGGGGCGGCACATCAGATTTCAGCGACCACCAAAACCACAATGATAACGTTCCATTTCAAATAAATAAACAACTCTTTTATTTCTCTACGATGCGAGAGGCTATTCACACAAAGGGAAAGATCAAAATATTTACAGATTTTTTCCTTTAGTCCCCTCTGTATATTAGATGGGAATATGCATTCTGTTATATCCATGTCATTTTCACACATACACATTGTTCACGGTGAAGTGCAGAAGATTGTGCTGGGTTAAATGCTCCGTAAACCGAGGTCCCGTGCATCTGAACCAACGCAGTCTGACCAGAAGACGGAAATGTGACTTTTGTGGATGAGCCATTCTTTCAAACTCCCGCTGACGCGCAATCCAACTTCATCGATCGATTAAAACACGTTCAAAAGTCCCAGTTCGTAGTGGACTCAGGGCAAAAACCAAATAAAAAGTAGTATCAAGGTAGGTAAGGAACGGCTATAAAATGATTACCAGCAAAAAGAGATAAGGCGTAAATATCTGGCAAGGAGTACACAAAATTTAGCAGGCCTTCCTGTAATTTCCCCAGTAGTTATATTAGGACATCTAAAAATGCGGCCTCATGCCGAAAGCCTTGCCCTTTGAAAAAATTACTTCAGAATGAAACGAAGATGCTAATGGCAACAGACTCTGGCTCTAAGTACAATGGGAGCGAAAGGTGCATTGTTTGGCAGATGACAACATTTCAGTGCGACGCAGCTATAATAAGAAAAGTGTCCTAGATGATGGCAACATTATTTCTAAATTGTCAAACGATATCTAAAAAGTATGGTATAGCTCAATAATATATGTGGTCATGAGTTGTAGTGGAAAGCTTTATGGCCGCTCTACTCCGGATTATTACGGCATACAGTAAGGCTTGTGTGTTTCACCAACTATAACCTCTGTGGTTATTCTGAGCGGTGTTGACTTTTATTTGGCCCGGGTACAGTACGAATAATAGCATAAGCATGGAAGAGAAGGTCTCTGAAAAAGATAGGAACTTGGTGTCCACCCATCACTGAGCCTGAGATTTAACAGGCGCATGTTGGGAAGTAGAGCCAGGTAAAAGTGAATTTGATGGAGATGGCCAAGGTAGAATGTGGAGGCGGTCGAAAATCCTGGAAGTCTGGCTATCCGAGCTGACGAGGCCACTCTGACACACGGTTAACTTTCAGGCCAGGTTAAATGAATATGAAATATTGAAAGATGATAATAATGTACGGAAAAGGATCCGGCTTCTCATTCGGCCAATCTACCAGTGTTGACATTAGCAGATGGCGTGCGTTCAAGTCTGATAAAAGTTAAGAGATGGTGAGGGCCAAGATGAGGTGGTCCAGTTGACCGCTTTTCCTGCAACCCGAACGCAAACATGTTCTGGTGTCATCCTGCTACATTTGCTTTGTATTTGTTTTGTTTAAACCTCTCTTCATCATTTTTCACCTCCAGCTTATTGCCTCTGTTGCGCCTCATGTTTGACATACTTCCCTATCGTTTGTAACTTTTATTTCCTCGCTCATCTCGTTTCTCCTCATTTGCCGTTTGCTTACAGGGCGTCCGCATCGGATTTACGGATGGGACGCGCTTCGTATTTCGTTTGAGTGGCACGGGCAGTAGCGGGGCCACATTGCGCGTTTACATAGACACCTTTGAACCGGATCCAGCGAAACACGTCGTCCCATCTCAGGTGAGAGACGTATGAGTGATCCCATGTGTGTTCAATCGTTTCCCACACCAATGGATTGACCCCTGATTGGATCATTCGGCACCAGATTGTTGTATGTTACAACATAGCATTGTGACCAAGTTAGAAATGGCCAAATACATTGGAATCATAGTCGCAATGATATCTACTAATGATTATGGCGAGGCCTGTGCTAACGGGAATATCGGCAACTGTGACAACGACTGTGTCAGTAGCGATGACCGCACTGACATTTTCCCCGCGCTTGTTTGCCTTATCGTTTTTTTGTCCGTCGCCAACATCCCTGGGGACAGCGGCTTCTTAAGGAACGTTTCCAGTTCGTTAAACGTTTGGCTACGCACTTACGCAAATGAGGCTTGCATACACTAATCGCCAGCTTGTCTTCTGATTTTCCTAACCATTTCTCCAGAATTCCAGTCCGTATTGCTGAGCTTTATTCGTCTTATTCTACTGTTATTTTTTTGCACATTTTTGTTTTACCATGCTATCCCCGAATTGTCAGTGATTGTGGACTGTACGGGTTGAAACAAAATTTAATGTGACACAGAAGAAATATCGTATGGAAAGTGGCTTCATCTAGTTGCTTAGTCAACCTGCTGCTCTTTAAGATTAGGACAAAGTGGCTTGTTGCAATTTCACTCCGCCTTTCCCTTGCAGCATTTTCTCATCAACCCTATTTGAAGCGCTTTTGCGTTTCATCCACTTCCCGTCTGTTACTTCTCACCCAGTCCTCTGTGTGGCATTCAGTGTGTGTGTGTGTGTGTGTGTGTGTGTGTGTGTGTGTGTGTGTGCATTTGTTGCTTTTCATCTACCTGGAGAGCTAGTGCACAAACCGCACCGACTACCACCCGACGGCGTTGCTCGTGCAAGCGTTCATGAACCAATGGCCACCGGCATGTGTCGTGCGTCCGTGCTACCACCACTCCATTGCTATTGGTCACTTGCGCGAAGCATACTGTTGACCCAGACAACCACCGTGTCATAACAATTGCCATACAGCCTCGAGAATCGTGCTCCACAGGCGGTGTTTGGAGAGTGGTGCTTCTTCTCACAACGGATTACTTTTGTTCTTTCTGTCCGTTATGTTCAACTGCCTTGGAATATAACCGTATTTCATCTTATTACTCACTCGACCGTCGTTGTTCACTCTCTCTCGTCTCTTCAGATCTACCTGGAAGCACATATTGAGTTGGCAATAAAATTGTGCGGTGTGAAGGAGATTACAGGTCGCTCGGCCCCTACAGTAATCACGTGAACAGTGCCTACTCCTTGTGTTACACTTCGTCACCATTTTAGACTCAGTCGCATCCCTTGCCTCCGCTGCTGGCCGGCTTTTTAGCTAGTGCTGTTGATCTCGTGCGGAACTACTGTTCTGCCTTAATTTTAGTTGATTTTATTTTTGCTCCTTCACTTTTGTCTTTACTTTTACTTTGACAATCATTTTATCTCCACACAATTGTTCATGCTTCTTCAACCTTCGGTTTTGTGACGCAGTGATCAATTGTACACCCGAAGAAATGAAGTATGTTCTCCTTCATCTGTGTCTTTTGCAATTTGATGTATTTTCGAGATTGTTGTGGTGCGGTGTGCTTCTCGTTGACGTTTCCACTAAATGCATTGCTTTCCCTATGTATCATTGCAAGTTAGTTGTTATGTCTCTTGGTTCCGTAGGATCTAACTAGGTCCTACGCAATTTCCACCCAAGATGATCATCGTATATATCGACTTTTTCTATACACACTGTTAATTTTGTTTGCACCAACTTGATTCCTTGTATCTTTCGTCCAGAACACCATCAGTGATAACAGGGTGCCTCGCTGTTTCTGCACCGTCGGTGCCGGGCTGATGATTGCTGGATCATACGGCGACACTGTCGAGTTTTCTCCTTCCAAACTAGTATCTCGAGGTGGCAGTTATCCGCGTTCCAAATCACTGCACCATGAACAAGACTGAGCAGCGGTCACGAAATGTGTGGACATCGAAGCTGCTTACTGTCTGGGTTTGCTGTGATTTGCTAGTGGAATTTTCGGATCTTTTCCAATTAAGCCCCGCCACCCAAAAAAGATTATGCAAAGGGAGGATATGGAACTTGCACTTTCACTCTCTATTGAAGAGGGTGAAATTGAGACAAGTCTTTAATAAATTGCATGAAAAGGTCCATTTTTCGGTGTCTTTGCCTCCAAACGAACTCACACAGGTAGCTGTCCACTAAAGATCGGTGTGTGCCGCATTGGCGCTTATTCTGCATCTTGTAAATGTTCCAGAAAGATTCCATGGTTTGTGTGTGAGCTCCAGTCGTTGGATCCACAAAGTTTTCGGTATGATTAACCGTTTGATGAGTATAACTCATGCCAATCATCGATTCAATGCTTTGGTATGATGCACACATATCGGAAGTGATAATTGAGCCGAGAGCGATGCAGGCCTGGATTGTGTCCAGCAGAGTGGCCGCAGTTCGATCTGGCACTGCATACAAGCACTTCTTTAGTCTCCCGGCAAATCCCTCCGAAAATCCACTGCTGGGGAAGGACTCGCCTTGCATGGTTTTTACGACGTGATATTAGGGTTTCATCGATCTCGACATGTAGACCTGGGCCGCCGACAATCGGTGGAGTCTGCAAAAGCTGCCAGGCGCAAATTTCACGCAGAAAGTTCTTCCAGTCGACAGCGGTCGCGTGGCCAATAGATAACTCCTCTGAGCAGAATTTGATTGTTGTCAGATTTTTGGACCAGCAATAAATGAATAGGATCATTGTCCTGAAATCCATCCTAGACCGCTACAGCCAAGTTCCCTTTCGAAGACCGATTTCTTGCCGACACTGTCGGGCATCACACCTCTACCTGTCAGAAACAGTTGAAAGTGTCATTTGGTGTCCTTGTCTGCATAAACTTTGATGATGAATCACTCCATGGCTTTGCAAAAAACGTATTGCTGTTTCCTTGTCATAAACGACCGCCGAAAGCGTCAGAAAGTTCATGTCAGGTTTTACGTGCGAACGCAGAAACTTTTTGGACAAAAATGACCTTAGAAGCGGATAATTGTTTTTATGGGGCACGTTCACATGCATTACGTACACTGGAGCTGGCAAACAGTGGCGGGGCTCAACTTTTCACGCGTGCCCTTTTTGCACTATTGGTGGGGCTTGACTTTTCAGGTGTACCCTTTTTGCCTTAGTGGCGGGGCTTAACTTTTTGCGCGTGCTCTTTTTGCATTAGTGGCGGGGCTTAACTGGAAAAGATCCGAATTTTCAATCGGGACTCGTGTTTATCCCGTTACCTCCTGATTTACTAGACTCACCTTACTTCGCGACGATGATGTGTGCACTTAATGATCATGGACTATCTGTTGTTTTTCTCTTTAAGGTGCGATCTAAGTATTTGTGCAGATAATTTATTAACTGCCCTACAAAAGTTTTTTTTACAGAGAAAGTAAGACCTATTGCAGGATTTATTTGATGCGTGGATTTCACATATTACGTTTGTTTATTTCTGTCGGCTCTAGCATTTGAGTATCACTTCGCTACTTTTGCCATGTGATGCCTCAATATTGACAGTGCCGTAAGGAAGCTGTGATATATAAATATCTATGTTATACATTTTATTGACATTACAAGTGTTATTATTTTGCGTTTTAGTTATTACCTTATCATTAACGTTATCTACCTACCCATAAGTCGTAAATGGGTAGGTTAAGTTGTATCTTAAAAGCGAGTGCCACTAGAGCAGACTTGAGTTCGGATTTAACATCAGCATCAAGAATGCTTTTTAGTAAGTGACTCCATCCCAATGTAAAAAGTTGAGTTGACTAGTGTTAACTATGTAGGGAATTGCAGGCTTGCTGTTTGCTCTTGCTCCGGCCGTGATGCCTCATGATTAGAAGAATTTATTTTGCGTTGCTTATTTGCAAACGGGATCCACCCAGAGGATGTCATCAGCGCGCCGGAACAGGGTATCGGTGCTTTGCTTCTACCCAGCCACACGCAGTTACCTACACATTGGGACAATACGTGAGAATTCATACATACACATACTCGAACCCATGACTCCGGGGATCCCGAGTCCAGTGAATCACCCCGCCTTTTGAACTGCATTCAGCTCTTCTCAGGTGCCACAGCCATTGTTTTCCTCACCACTGCCACCTATTTTACTAAACATCCAGAAATCACCGGTGTCTGCTAAAGAGTTCCTTCATGTAAGCCACGACATACGTTAGAAGGTAAACTCATCGTTGTTTTCGATAGACATCCATGCTCTCTGTTCGTTGATACTGAAGAGAACCTGCGACCAAGCGCTCAATATCTCCTACCGTTTCCTTAAATCGTCCCTTTCGCTGTGCCATTCGACTCGAACTACGAGGTTATTTCCTCTGGCAGTCAAATCAGCTCCAAACCTTTTGGTACACAGTATCATGCGTCAATGGGAAAGACCGCCAGCTTTATACACTGTTCTCCATTTCATTTCGTTTTAATTATTACTCATGTAGCTTTCAGTTCCTTCGTCGTATAATATTCATTGCAATTTACTTGTGACATGTTTTTATACATTGTTGTGTCAGGCATTTCTGGGCCATTTTAAATGCTTTACGATCCGCAATCCGTTCTTTCGATGTATCTGTTCAACTAAAAGTTGGCGCTTCGTTTTCGTTTTAAACACTGTAAGTGAATACTCTATTTTTAATTGCTTATTCACCAGCTGTTCGGAGTGGATGGTAACATTTGCTGCAAATACTTGTTTGTGTACCAAGTCATACACGTACTGTAATAGGCTTTGCTTCACACGTCTTAGCCACCTTGGCTATTGCGCTAGAGGTGGGGGTCACTGTAGCCTTAGCAAACGCTTGCCGGGCATTCTGCAGGTGTTCATGGCACGATTGCCGATAACCGTGATGATAGTCGGACGGTATGCTGGCACAGGGCGAATACAGACCTTGAACAAGTGTAGTTTAGAAACACGTTGCGAATGATTTGACGATAACTTTTTCACATCTTCCCACTTAACAGATCAACTGAATAAAGCCTCCTAGTCTCATGCGCGGTAACCTCACACAGCTTATTATCAACTTGCTTGGGACAAATTTACACCTATTAGTTGATACCATGCATTTGCATACTGAGAAGGACATTTACCAGTTGGTACACCACGACTGCAAAGTCAGTAGTTTTGTGCTAATTGTATCCAGGGCATCGCACAAGAGTCTAGGGTCGAAACTACACTATCCTCATATAACCAGCAAAGATATATGGTGTTTCGAGTTTTGTTGCCTCTGTTACGTTGATATAACTCAAAAAGAGCCGCATACCCAGTACGCTACCCTGAATCACCACATGTCAGGTCGGGGTGAGTATTTGACATGCCTTGTTTGCACTTGTTGCTTGCCATCTCTCTCTGCCTCCGTTTCCACTGATCTATAATTTCTACTCTCTTAACTTGGTAATTCAGGGCAAAGCTATGTGTTTTTTGGCGACACCCGTCGGTTATGTTGTAGTGCATGGCGATCATGTCGTTTTCACAGCTGTCTATGGGACTGAATCCAACCAATCTGCCTATTTCACCGCGGGGATTTTGCTCAGTTACGACGTCGTTTTACGTTCCTTCGAGCTAGACCTCATATGTAACTCGAGTCTTACCTTTCCTGATTGCTTCAGTCCAATTTTTTAGTTTGCTGAATCGAAAGCGGAACGATTTGGTGGCTGCTTCCGCGATTTATCTATCCATTCGTTGACAGCTACTTGACGTAGACAACAAACGCCGGACCGCTGTGCTTCTCTCACATACCCTAGATCATCGCTGTTATCGTGACAATGAAAATCGATAGAACTGTATATACCGCACATCATATTTCGATCTTTATCCGAATATTCATGTGGTCCGATTAGGTTTTACCCGTCCATCTTACCTACTTTAGCTAATACCCGTTTTATCCGGTTCCCAAGCCAGAGGCAAATGATTGGTTTTCCGTTGTTGTTGTTGTTGTTGTTGTTGTTGTTGTTGTTGTTGTTGTTGTTGTTGTTGTTGTTGTGGTTAAAATATTTAACCTTTTCGATCCGGTGGACTAGGGCCAATCACCCCTCCCCTGTGCTCTTTAAAACCACGGCTGCATACCGAAAGGCGCTCTTTGTGCATCATCCCTGTCCTATCCAGATGAGGGTGTTTAAAATGTCAAAGCACTCCGCCAGTTTTTTGTGTGCTTGTGCAGGTGTACTATGAGCGCGAGTTCCGTTCAGTACTTCTTTTGTCCCAGTGTACGCATTGTGATCACCAACCTGCTTCATTCTTTTATACAATAGTTATGGCGGCCACCACGATGCTTTGTACGCACACCTCGCTTGTGTTGCATCGGTCTGACCCATCCCATAACTAACATAATGGGCTATTCGTCCAGACCGCCGTATGTTAACAAGCATTGTGTTCCTGGCCTGTCACTACCCGACTCCACACTTAATTCGTTACAGTACGCATCAACTGTGATCCTACTTGACGTGCTCTAGATATTGCCATTGTGATGAACAATACGCGCTATGGTTTCTGTCATCTGGGTCCGGTGTTCATGACTGCTTTCGAGCTACTATCATTACCTTTCCCCTTGTCTGGTGTTTCCTATTTACGCTGTACTCATGCCACGTGAAATATGTCGTAGTCCAAGCTCATCCCGTGCACACTGCAAACTTCGCCATTCCTTTTCGTTTGTCTCTAAATTTCTTTCTCTAACCACCCTTTACGAACAGTATCGCTGTCTATAATTAAATATACTGATGCTGCTTAGGCGATGGAATATGCGCTGCCATTGCGCCTTCCTCACACTAGCTTATTGACTTCCGCATCCACTTTTAACTCTAGTTAAAACTAACATGCTGCATGTGCCCAGGAGGAGGGAATATTCTGCCGTAAAACACATGCCTTCATTGTTATAGGAAATAATATCAACTACATGGCATATGCAGTCTCATATGCACATTGTGAACTTGTCAACAGACTCTGGAACGATTGAGTTCTGGTCGCACATAAGCGACAGCACGTGTGCGAGTATAAATGGATTTCTATCCGTCTAGTAGGTAAAATTATTACTGTGCACCGTGAATGCGGTAACTTGTGTCGGTATTTTTAGATCAAGCCTTCTGCAAGAGCTGATAAGAGCAGACATAGGGATGTCGACAAATGTCGGCTTTAGAATGCTGTCATATGGAGATGATCACTGCACTGACTTCTCATTTGATTTAAAATGCTCACAGGGTAATCCAGGAGATATCACAGGGACCAATATATCCCTCTGGTGTAATGCATACGGTGACACATCACAGTAATCAGTAGTGGCGGACAGAAAAGGAACGTAGAACGAGAATTCGCTAATTTCTGGGTTCACTTCATTCACACTGAAGTAAGCAACATGACTCGTGGAAATGTGCAGTCCCTCACTATTTTTGAGTAGTCTAGAGCATGCCATGAAGAGTTTCCAATGGTCAGGTCACATATTGCGGGTGCCAGAACATCGACTTTCGCGTCGTGCGTTGTTTGCGCGAACTGGGTCTGGATAGAAGATTGGGAAGAGAGGCAACATGATAACTCGGTCAATAGCAATGAAAACCCTCACTTCGAAGTTGGGGTAGAGTCCGAAGGACGATGAACACATTTACTTGGATAGATTTGTTGACACGGCGAAGAGCCGACCTCAGTGGCTTTTGTGTTGTGAGGTTCCTTGTCCCTCTTCTTTTTAGCTTCCCCCTCTAACAACGATCTCATACCCAATATATAACATGACATTTTGCATCATATTGCATTTTAGTTTTTGTGCTCCGTAATTTGTGCCTTCTTATCTTTTTTGGATCGCGGCACCTTAGCTGAGGTGTGTTTCTCATCCTCAGTTAAGATGTATTGCTGATGATGATGAGGATTTCCATAACGACCTATGTGTAAAAGGAACAGACGTCGTTAAATTTCAGTGCATTATCCATGATGGCTTGTGACATATCACCTGAAGCCATATTCTAAGGTTTCGTACCCATAATGACTTAACCTGCGTATTTCATCAAAGGCATGTGTTGCGTTGACCTTACTGTAAACCAGATATGACAGCAGTATGACTCCCTGAAACAAGGATTGGCGAAGAACTTTTATCACTACTTGGGAAATAAAAAGTAAAGCGTCAACAGTACTGTACTCCGTGCTGTGACTTCGCTGCCACGCGACCCCCACCAGCCGCAGACTGGCTAAGGATCCCGTTAGGTCACCCGCATCTACGCATATTCTAACCGATGGTCTCTCTTCTTCCTCCTGCCGACTTTCCAATCATGTCGAGTAAACTGAACATGTCTGGCGAATTAGCCACTCGGAATGTAGTCAATAGAAGGTTCAATCCTACCTTCGAGCGGATATTTCAGAGACAGCTCACTACTTACACAGCGGAAAACATTACTTTGGTCAACAAAGCATATTCGCGTATTTTTGACTCTGTTCTCTATGAATACTAGCACTGAAAGTACGATGTAGACCACAGCGTCTTATGTATACCACAAGTGACATTAGGCACACTTAACAAGGTCACCTGAATGTATTTGAATCAGCATCCTATGGACAATAATTTTTTCGAACATCCTCAACATTTCTGAATCTTGGCACTGGTGTGACGCCAACACTTCCAACAGTAGGAAATTTTATCTATACAACTTGTGTAAAACAATAAATGTTTGCGCCAAGGAACAGGTACATTTTCGAGGAGAACTTGACTCTGTCCAGGCCACTTACTAAAATGTAGAACTGACGGTCTTTTGTGCACTGTCTCATTGTCGATGGGTGATTGGTTTACCGACCATTTTACTAACGGTGAGGATGGGTCGGAGCTAATTCCTACGGATCCACATTTAGATGGCACTCAGCAAAAAACTCCTCTCTGTTGTTTCAACGTCGCCAGGTTTCCTGACTGCTGTCATTCCCATGGTTTTGTATTGACGTACAAATGGTTAAAAGGTCATAACTGTTCCTTGCTAGAACTAGATTCCACTGATGTGTGACCTTTTTATAAGTTTTCTACTTAAATTTACGCAGCGGATTTAGGTGCGAACGTATTCGCACCTCGTATTCGTATTCATCTGTGCGAACGTATTCGCACAGATGAAACTAGTCCCCCGTGGACAACAAGTATCCAAACGGAAGCTCGGGTAGCTAGTCAACTAATCACCGTATTTAGACACAATAGTGCCAAAAACTAAACTGCTTTGTGAATACAACGATTTCCCTTAGTTGTTTTTGAGGTGAACATCATTTAAATTTACCACTTTGTTCACACGTTGACTTCGTGCGTATCATAACCGGAGATAATTTGGTCGTTGAGCGATCGAAGCTGCTAGGCGGAGATTGGTTGCAGGTATAAAACAACAAACATCAAGTCCAGGATTGCCTCAACTCTGGTGGGAGAATTCGCAACATTTTACAGCCTGAGATTTATAAGGAAAATGGGGTCAACTATCTTGAATTCCTCAATGAAAATAGAAAACAGATATTTGTGATTTGACTTGGCTGCTGTAAACTCATCGCAAAATTGTTTTGGGACCGAAAGGGAACATGTTTGCCAACAAAATCGAGCGGTATCCACTTAGACACAATAGTCTACACTCCAACACTTAGCAGCCCATGCGTTGTTAACGTATGCTTGGTTGACGTACACCACAAGGAGTTCGTGTAACTAATAACATGCAATCACTGTTTCGACATACATGTAAGAGTTCGACCCGTTGTTATGTTAAGCTTTCAGCCGCTGCAACTTCGTCGTTCATGCGGCCAGATCTCCTATAGCATGACTACGCTTTATTCTGACTCTATTCATGGTCTGTACTCTCATTCACTTTCTCTAGAATTGCGTGGATATTAGCACTAAATATAATACGTATACTTATGCATCTTAGTTTTTTTCCTTGGAATTGCAACGCTCCATCCAGCGCAGTGTTACTTTGCTTATAGATTCTTTCCAGTATATTTCTTTTAGCTTGATTGCGGGAAACGCTGACGTGGAAGCGCGGAATGACTTCATGATATCGCGAATGTAGATTACCATAACAGTGTGGAGCGGGCTACGGTCCAGCTCTCGTCTTGTGTACGTCCTGTTTGCATGATTCCCTACACAGACAGAGAGGAATACTGCTGCTCTTCATATAGAAGGAGTATGGGCCGGCTTCGTTAAGGAAAAGTGGCTCCCATTCGCTTGCATCCCGGTCTTATTCCTTCGGGTTAACACTGGATATGGGGTGTGTGGGTGGTGCTGCGCAAGCCACCCATTGTCGCTGAGTAAGCGCAGACGTCCTGTGGCTGTCCCCATGGAGGCCACAATGACCGGCGAATCCGGACAGGGATGCCGTCAATCCCATAGTAGAGGTTTCATTAAGAAAGTATGAAAAATCGCCTAGTGGTGTGTTAGAAATTCCGCGAAAGGGAATAGGTGTGCACGGTGAGTTTGAAGGTTCCACCGGTATCCCCTTCTATCCATTAGACATGCCATTGTACTTGAATAACTGCATTCACATGCATTGGCCAGAGATCCTGGTGCAACCACACTCCTTTCATCTACCTTCGTGTTGAAGTGGAATCCTCCGGGTAGCTGTATTTTTCGGCTTTGTTCGGACTAGCGTGGTTCTGCTTCTGTTCACTCACTACAATCGTTTTACAGCACGGTATCATCCCCATAACTTATACTCCCGGTCATCATTCCTCCTTGCTAACTCAGCTACTTTATCCTAACTACGAAAATTAACCTTGGCTACCTCACTGTTCTTCTTCGCGTCAGTGCCGAAACCTTTACTACTATCCATAAACCTCAACCACAAATCGAAACATGATCAGTCGGCATGAAAAAACTCCAGTTCAAACCATTTACCTACCAAATTTGCCATGTGTAATAGATGTGGTAAGTGCCGAGCCCACATTCCAAACACAGGGTGGCCCAACCCACTACGAGTGAAATGATTAGTTCTCAATTTGCATCAATACCTGCCTTCGGGCTCCATTCAACTTAACTGGTGCGTAACCGACTGATTGATGTTTCGCCTTCAATTCGCTTGTTGGGTATTTTTCAACCTATTACTGCATTTTCCGTGTCGGGATTTTTAATTTTTCCTCATTTTCAGTTCCTGCTACCCAGATCCTTGATCTTCTCAAGGTTTACGCAACTTTCGTTTAGCGGAATCGACCGCTACTTTTCCCCAGTCTCATTCTCGGACCGGCATGTTGCCTGTGGCAGAGAGGCCTAACCGGAAAGTCAGTTTTTCAGATTATGTCATCACAAATTCAAGAGTTGAAAAGCGACATGCAGTGCCCGATTCATCCGCGCTGTACCAAGAGCAGCTGAGCGATGTACAACAGCGATGTCCGACTCCAGTGGACGAATCTGGTCACCCTATCGTTGTTCGTCTGGTAGAGTCAAAAGATGAGGAAGTGATTGCCGAAACTCCATTGCTTCACTCGCATTTACCGGTGTTCGAAGTCAAATTGGGCATGGTACGACAGGCCACTGTATACCACGTGGAGTTTACCGTCCCCGACTGTTTGCCCAGTGGCGAGGTGGAATTGTTGCGATACACCGAGGACATTCCCGGACAGTTGGATGCTCCTGTGAATGTGGGGGCTGCGATTAAGCTACTTAGCTGTGATTCCTGTGAATCCCGGCGAGGTTAGTCTCTGTACCTACCGTCAACAATTTGCGTGGAATTACTTCGTTTGTTATTGCAGCAATATCATCATATTTTGCATGCAAGCTTCCATCCTTTGATACAGCCTGTAGCTTTTCACTTCAAGCGTCTGGACTCTGACGAGCTTGCACTTCACCATGCTCTTCTCCGTCTGCGCGCTTACTTCGCTTTATTTTATTCCTACGCAGTTGTGTCATGCCCAGTGTGGTCACGTCTCAGGGGTCTTCACGGAAAATATCATTCGGCTTAGTAGATAGATGCTTACTTTTCTGGTATCCGCTTAATTCCTTAGTGGTCTCTTTTCATTACCTAGTATTTCCCTATTTGATTGTCTTATTACGGACTAATTCATCGTCACTCACGTGACCGGTTGGTTCTACTTGCATTTGGAAATACCTTAAGCCATAGGATCTTCCCGCAACCAACGGGTTAAGACTTGAGATGCGTTCTACAGTTCGTCAGTTTGTGCCTGCGTCGACAAGGGAGACCTCGCAGTACCCCTAACCCACATACCTCTGTTGCCACCTATCTTCGTACTGCATATGCCTTACATCTATATTTTTTAACGACACGTTTTTTGCTGGTTCATCTTTATGTCTTCGCGTTTGGGTGCATCTGTTTTGCCAACCTATTTAGCTGAAAGTGGACGTTCTTCGAGTTGGCAGACCTATAGCGTGCGGGCTTCTTTTATCCGTGTAAACCGGTCCTAGTTCCCCTATTCTTCCTTTTATGCCTTTGTTGTGCAAGGTATCCGCAGCAGTCTTGCTAACCGTCAGTTCCTACGAAGTTTATTGGTTCTATGTCTTTTTGTAGACTGTCCACTCGTTTGAAATTGTGTCATTGAGTGTGAAAGGATCCCGCCGGGTTGTCACGAAGGATGTGCTCACGATCGGCGAGCATATAGAAGGTGGAATAGACCATGGGCCCACCAACATTGGGCTCCATCTGTGTCACAGGCCCATACCATTAGACAATCAAGCTCGGATTGTAGCACAATACTTGAGATGCTTCCCAACTCCGACTAACGTGCGTGATGATGAATAAGGTCTGTATAATCTCAATGCGATTGCGTACCCATATATTTCTGGTTGCGATAGAAATGTGGTGATTGACAGGCGCTCGATGTGAACTTCGGTGTCGTCCACAGTAAGATGAACGTATCAGTGGGATTGGTAAATCGGAGAACACTCGTAAGGGCTGTGAAAGAGGGCGTTGATTTGAGAGAACTCGCTGGTTCACGAAAAAACAGGGTAACTGCATAAGCGTTGGATGGTCATTGCACCTTCACTACAATTGGCGCAGGTGGTGTGAAGTTGAAAAGTATAGCGGCAGTTATGAAACGTTCTTGCATGGTGACGAAAAATTCCCAATTAGCTTTACGTTCAACTCATTAAATTGGAGGAGATAAGTAGAATAACCACTCCAAATCTCACAAAGATGTTGAGCGAGTAGAAGTGACAAGCGTAGTCGATTGGATAGGAGGCCGAGATGTTTAATTTTCGGACTACCCTGAAAGTGGAACTTAACATTTGATGTACATAACAGCAGTCGTTGTAATTCCGAGACTGGTATATCTACTTTTAGTTGGTTCTCGACCACATGATTACAGATAATCTGGATCGTCTCTTTTAGTGACACATTGATAACTAGTGAAATAATATCGATGCTGGTCATGAATTTTCCGCGCAGTTCGATACCGTCCAGAAGTTCCGCTAACTCAAGGGTAGCTCTTAGACTCTGTTTAACCATTGCTCGTTTAACTGGCTCCAACTGTGCCATTAGCCACTTAGCTAGCTTGTGTTGTGGGGAATTGCACATGGATAGAATAGGTCTCCGAAGGACGTCCACCTTGTGCAATTTTCGCAATCTATAAGGTTGCCTATATATATATATATGTATATATATGTATATATATATATATATTATTTATGTGTGGCTCTGTATCTTTTTCTCTAAGATGTTTGACCAATACCCGATTGGACCACAAAATTAATAGTGTTGAAGTTCACTTATCGGCGTTTGAGACGCTTTACCGACATTGTGCTGCACCACGTACTAAGGCGACGTCTGTATTTGTAATCCTATTCCTAGGTCGCTCATTGAGCATCTCTCTATGCCTCATGATTTCAAAAATTATGACATACCGAATGATCTTGAAACCACCGCCTTGGCTGCTAAAGTTGGTAACCGCCTGACAGCATATTCAAGCGCTTTGCGTAAGGCAGATCATGTTGGCTGGCGACACATTTTACCCACTGTTTCGGGGTAATCCGAAAATTGAACAATTCGACCTCCTATCTGATCGACTACGCTTGTCACTTCTACTCGCTCAACATCTTTGTGAGATTCGGAGTGGTTATTCCATTTATTTCCTCCAATCTAATGCTTGGAATGGAGGGCAACTTGAAAATTTTTTGCCACCATGCAAGAACGTTTCATAACTGCCGCTATACTTTTCAACTTCATACCGCCTCCACCAATTGTAGTGAAGGTGCAGTGACCATCCAACGCTTATGCAGTTACCCTGTTTTTTCGTGAACCAGCGAGTTCTCTCAAATCAGCGCCCTCTTTCACAGCCCTTACGAGTGTCCTGCGATTTACCAATCCCACTGATACGTTCATATTACTGTGGACGACACCGAAGTTCACATCGAGCGCCTGTCAATCACCACATTTCTATCGCAACCAGAAATATATGGGTACGCAATCGCATCGAGAGTATACAGATCTTTTTCATCATCACACACGTTAGTCGGAGTTGGGAAGCATCTCAAGTATTATGCTACAATCCGAGCTTAATTGTCTAATGGAATGGGCATGTGACACAGATGGAGCCCAATGTTGGTGGGTCCATGGTCTATTCCACCTTCTATATTCTCGCCGATCGTGAGCACATCCTTCGTGACAACCCGGCGGGATCACTTCACACTTAATGACACAATTTTCAGTGAGTGCGAACCGGGACCCGGTCGATCACTGGGCCTTCGTTCACTGGGCTTCTTTCGGGCAAAATGGGCCTTACTTGCTCCATCGCTTTTCTGCGTGTGATCGCGGACTTCAATATGTTGAATATTTGCAACGCTGAAGTGGCTTTGGCAATTCGATGTGTTCGGTAGTCAATCTTTAATGTTTTGTGAACTTTTCCTTCCCAAAGTACGTGCACTACCAGATCTACCATGGATTCTTGTTCCCGCTTGAAATAAAGGCGGCTTCAAACGGAAGTCTCGCCCTCCCTTATTTTCTCTACATCACTTTTGGTGTTCACATTTAAAGCAAAGCTGATCATCTCTTGAGAATAGGACACAAGAGTCAAATTGTTTGGTCAGAAGCCTTTCTGATATCGTTAACTCCGAAATTGTACCTTATGATCTAGTAGGATGTTTAATGCTAACGGATGGGTACAATTTATAGGCCACGTAAATAAGTACCTGGGGATGATTCCCGATAGAGGATCTCGAGGCCGTCGTTGATTGGTTCTATTCAGTGTTGTTTTATTGGACTGTTTCGATAACTCAACTCGCAGCCTCAGGTTGTATTCAGCATGCTAATTATTTGTTCCTCTGTGTTATTTCGACTGCGGCAACAAATTCCTCTGGGTCTTGAAACTGATCCTTATGGACATTTTTGAAGACTTTTCCATTAATCAGCTTTCCTTAGAGGTGAAAGTAGACTTTACTTTTCGCACGAATCTTGTATCACGTACATTGCAGGTCAGTACTAGCCGAATGGGCTTCAGTATAGCGCAGTGCTTTTTTCCATTGCAGCCGCTAACACATGGAACCGCGCACACTTAAAAATGGCCGACTTGAGTCAAGCGAAATGACGGGGCATAATAGCCGGACATGAGAGGAATAGTCGCGTGCACCACGGTCAGCGGCGGGCGGCATAGCTCGACTGTTTTGTGCTCCTTGTATTTCGTCAACCTCTTCAACTAAATCATTCGTCGCTGCAGTCAAGTAGGTAAGGGAGTTTTGTCCGCTTTTGCTTAAAGTCTTGATGCGCTCGGTAGTGTCTATAACTAGTTAGGTTATCTGGCGATGACCCGGTTTTGTCTTGTGAATCTAGGCGATCCCAACAGTCTCCATCTTCTGGATTACGAATGGGAACAGTATATCACATCAGGTATTGTGGATTTTGAAACCTAACTGTTATGTTAGTGATCCCAACTGACGACGATTACTGTTTGGGATGTGTATGTTCATCGCACTCGAAAAGGAGTTGCTTGATAGAGGTGGTGTGGATGAGCCTTGTTTTGTCGCTGCCGACTGTTCACGCCCCCACGACCGCAAGATGAACATGAGGATGTGCCACGGCCGAGTTGTTTGCATGAGAACACTGTGTCCGTATATAGTGTACAGTAGTTTATGAAGCAAAAGCTACTAAAGCATGTTGGAGGCAACCAACATTATAGGGAACAACAAATAAGTCGAGCGAATGAGAAGTGACAAAAGAAAAAACCACTCAAGCAAGTTCAAGCATACGACATTAGCGGAATGAGGCACCTGAGATGGCACCCATTAGGAACGCCTTAGGTCGGTCAATCTAAGCAAAGGAATGATACGTTTAAACAAATGTCAAGAAGCAAACGGTGGCGAAACAAACGCAGGCAGCTAAGAAATGTAGCAAAAATATATGTCCATTGTGAATCTCTCTGGCGACTCTTTTGATATAGCTTCTCCGATCTATGGTAGCAAGTCACTTTGGGCTCCGCAGTGGTGTTAATTGTAATATTTAGAGGTCTGCGAAGAACACGATTTGATAGAAGGCTGATGGTAGAATCTTGTACCCCTTTCTAGACAACCGACCTGTGTTTTCCCAGTTTCCCCCTTTTGAACTCTACCCCACCCGATGTGTGGTCGTTGCGATAACTCTCCTGGCCATGTACAATGCCTATTCACTTGTTGGCTAATCAGACTCACTACCTAATACTTATTTCTGTCCCCGTCGTCGCGGACACATTGATTTCGCCCAGCCGGCGTTTCTCCACATTGACTGTACCGCCTCTCGATTGTCAAGCAGCTACGCATAACGCAGATCAACGGGTTTTTCGCAGTTAGAGCTTCAATCAGTAGAGCGTGGACCTCGTAAACGAACACTGCACATTGAGGTGTGGGACAATGCAGGCGCGTCTAATTTCGCGACAGTGAACGTTCCGGTGCAGGGCGCATAAACTATCCGCATATTTTGTGGGAACGTGGAATTGGCTTCATTGCGAACTGACTTTACGTATGAATCTATTAACTAACCTCTTCGCAGTTACCTTCCACGATGGACTGGGTATCCACAACATCTCGGCAACTGTTCGCTGTACCGCTTATTCGTTTTTTCACTTCGAAGCGCCTATGCCACGTCAGTATGCGTCATTTCATCAGATCTTATGAATTACTGGCACATTTATAACAACCCATTTTATGCTATTTCCTGATGGATATGCAGGTTTATGTCGATTGCATTTGTCATCCACCACGCTAGACCCTTTATTTTTGGACTCACGCCTTGGACCTCCTTCTCCGAATCCAGATAGCTGCATTCGCAAATCTCCGTTTATCTCGTCCGTTGGTCTGTTTTCGCCTATAGCCTCGTTCGCTTACCAATGCGTTGATTCAAGCTTCATTTGAAATTATCACCGGTTTCCAAAGTGCACTTCGTTCGCTACCAATCCACTCTGATCTCATTTATCCTTAAACGTCATGACCAAACTTACCCATTGACGGTCATTTCAGGTCATCCTCCAATTCTTGCATCCGCTTTCACACCCCATGTGACCTCGACTAAGATAAGAAGTTGGCTGTAGCGCATCGTCCCCTTGCGGTTTATGTAGCCTGTATCTTCCGAAACTTGTATTCAGAATGACCTTGTCCGTTTCTGACTACTCCGCTCATTGTATAACTGATTGAGCCTAGAACCAGCTACTATTATATTATCGGATTTGCGCTCAGCCGAAATGCTATAGGGTCTGCTGGCATGTTTGCTGATGAATAGCCCCAGGCGTACGTCAATAACAGCCAGTAGACTGCGCCTCAGGTCACATTTCGACCTACTTCAAGTGCGCTCGTACGGGCTGTGGTCCGAGCTTTGTCAGACTAACGGCCCCGACAACCGATTGGGCAGAGGTGTCGCAATCGTTGCCAACGTAACACATATGCTTATCGAAGTCAGCGCACGATCCGAAGGACTGTTGTGCAGTTACTTGTCGTTTCACTCACCTTGCGAATCGGCTAAATCAACTTGGATTTGAATAGTACATTGAGAAAACGGAATTCGGCAGATGCATGCACTTCGCGTCGTCTCATTAGTGCCGACAAGGACAATTGGTGATTAGATGCAACAATTTGATGGCGCAAATATACATACAGACAAACAAGTGTCTCGACCCTACATCCAGAGCAGCCTGAGACTGAACATTAATTGCTTTTGAACACAAAGCACTGGCTTAATCCGGGTTATGGCAACGGCCTGGCCGAAACGGGGGGGGGGTAAGTTTGTGAAGCGCAGCAGGATCCTGAGCCGTGTTGACCTCAATTCGGTTACCCAAGGTCAACAAGTGTCCGGCGATCGAGAATACCGGCGACTTGCGTAAACACGTAGTCCGACTTAGACCTGCTTGTTGCTCAGTCCCCCGTTGAAACCATTTTGGTACCTGCTCCGTCATTCGGGAACTCAGTGTTTTATTGGTCCTGCTCATGTAACTAACTCTGCAGTTACACACAAATTACCATACGTAGTGGGAGTTGGCCCCGATAAGCTGAGTTTTCTCCAGTGGATGCAACAGCAACTTATGAGTTCGGTCGATGATTGTGACTTCGGCAGCATATAAAGTGCTGTGTGGCGGAAATCAGAAGTCTTGCAGTCCTCAAAGAAGCAATGTCACTTTAAAGGGCATTTCTAGGAATACCTTTTTCTTAGGTACGGTAGATACAGTAGCTTTCATTTCACATAGTTGACTGTGCTTCTGGATAAATTTCCGGGGATAACCCTTTACCGTTAGCGTGTTGGTAAGTAGCTCTAGTTCATCGGTCGACTATATTCGTTTGGCAATACTAAATAAGATCTTCACAAGCGTGCGTTTGTACTACATTGAAGTGAAGCCGTTAAAACGGAGATACATGTCGGACCACGTTGTTTTCCGGTCGACAGATCTTATTACCTGTCCGTTCACCCTGCGGCTGATGAGAATATCCAAATATGGAAGACAGTTTTGTTGTTCAACTTCCAAAAAAACTCTGAGGCTGACATGCGAGGAAATAAAACGCGATACCGGCTGCGTTACCTGCATTTATGCTGTACAGAACACCAAGATATCATCTAGATAGCGTATGTAGTAGGGTAACTGTGATAGGCCGATAGAACCAGTTCTATCATCGACATGAACAAATCCGCTAGTAGGGGACATAGCGGGCTGCCCATGGCTACAAAATCAATTTGACGATACGGAATGTACCTGAGGTGGAAGTAGAGATTATCTACATATGTTCGGTCGATTGTATGGCAAATGAACTAGAGGTAATTACCAACACGCTAATTTCAATCGGCTATCCTCGGAAAGGTATCCAGAAGCACAGCCAAATCTGTAAAATAGAAGCTGCTGTATCTACCGTACCTAAGAAAAAGGGGTTTACAGAGCTGCCCTTTAAGAGTGAAATTGCCACATTGAAGACTAGAAAACGTTTGAGTTCCAACACACAGCACTTTATATGCTGCCGAAGTCACAATCATCGACCGAACTCATAAGTTGCCGTTGCATCCACTGGAGAAAACTCAGCTTATCGGGGCCAACTCCCACTACGTATAGTAATTTGTGTGTAACTGCAGAGTTAGTTACATGAGCAGGACCAATAAAACACTGAGTTCCCGAATGACGGAGCAGGTACCAAAATGGTTTCAACGGGAGAATGAGCAGCAGGCAGATCTAAGTCGGACTACGTGTTTACGCAAGTCGCCGGTATTCTCGATCGCCGGACACTTGTTGACCTTGGGTAACCGAATTGAGGTCAACACGGCTCAGGATCCTGCTGCGCTTCACAAACTTACCCCCCCCCCGTTTCGGCCAGGCCGTTGCTACAACCCGGATTAAGCCAGTGCTTTGTGTTCAAAAGCAATTAATGTTCAGTCTCAGGCTGCTCTGGATGTAGGGTCGAGACACTTGTTTGTCTGTATGTATATTTGCGCCATCAAATTGTTGCATCTAATCACCAATTGTCCTTGTCGGCACTAATGAGACGACGCGAAGTGCATGCATCTGCCGAATTCCGTTTTCTCAATGTACTATTCAAATCCAAGTTGATTTAGCCGATTCGCAAGGTGAGTGAAACGACAAGTAACTGCACAACAGTCCTTCGGATCGTGCGCTGACTTCGATAAGCATATGTGTTACGTTGGCAACGATTGCGACACCCTTACATCCCTTACATCCCTTACATCGCGACAGCTTCAGGTGAGTTCACACACACACACACACACACACACATCATGGCTGCTATCTTGTGTATTTTTATCTTACGAGGTTGCCGACTCGAATCGGAAATGTAATGTATACGTATGAGTCAGACAGAGTTGATCAATTTTGTCCGCGAAAGCATCGGATTCTACTAGCAATTTTCAATCTCCTCCCATGGGACCGTATTCATCTAACCAAACCTTGGCTGACTGGCAGTCCGGCGAACTCGACCGGGTGTCTATGTTGACTATCATAGAATCGGGTTTATTGGCTTCATTTTTCTTACCTGCGATACTCGCGTTGTTCGTCCCTCGCAGCTTTCGTTATTGGAACCGATTCTGTAACCCTTCGTCCTGTCTAGACTACGGCCAATGTATAAGTGAAAACCGTGCCATTGATATCCTTTTGGTCTCAGTTGACAGTTGTATTCTTGTGTTGCGTGCGGCACGCTTACTCTGTCTCTCTAAACGACCCTCGTCTGTTCCCTTCTCCAGACACTGGGAATTTTTGTGATGACATCCTTTGTTTTTAAGCGAGGATGTTTGATAGTTGTTGTTTTATCTTTCTAAGGCATTCCTTTCTCTCAACTTTCTAGGCCATGTTTTAGTGGTGGAGTTGAGCACGACCAAACAACCGCGTATCAATGAATTTTTCACCATGCGCTTAGTGGGCAATCCTAAGGAGGCGGTTCATCTAATTCTCCACGGCCTCTCTTTGGGTACGTGTTACTTCTGTACACCGATATGCATTCTTGATTTATACTTTACGTTTTCATTACTTGTCTATCTGGCTGGTTGCCACTCGTACAACCTTGCATCGGCCGCATTTTATTCCCGGCTGCGTGTTTTCGCTCGCAATATTATACCATCAGCTGGTTTTTCTTAATGTGGGTCTATCCTTTTTTGACGGTTAGAGAGTAGTCGGACATGTATTTGGAAGCACACCGGATTTGCTGGTATATATCTTGTTTTTGGGAATTCCTCGTTCTGTGGACCAACATACATTTGCACTTTGCTTCTGTTTCGTGCAGGTATGGTGACCTTTCGATTGAAATTGAAGTCATGTGCGCTTTTCGTCATCAAGAGCCATAAGCTTAACAACCGTCCAGTATTCCGACAACGGCACTTTGATATTTGAGAACGCGAAACCATGCCGAATGAAATTACTGCCTTGGATAGGTTATTAAGCATTAACTGTTTCACCTCACGATTGTTGATTAGCATCAAAATGATGTCATCCCGAGCAGTAGCTCATTGCCTACATCTTGTCGCTCTACAGGGACTCATTCTAAAACGAGAGATACGCGAGCTTTTGTTCTAACTGAAAAGTGGGCTAGTCCCAGCGAACACTGCTTGTTAGGAGGAAGCCGTCTGACGGACGATTCACCGCCGCCACGGCAGAGGTTTTTCTTGTGGTATCCAACGAAGTTTATGGAATTTTTAATTATATGCTGTTTGTTATTGGGACGACGAGTGGTAGACGCAGAAGCTCCACTTTGTGAAAAATCAGCCACTATGGATGGATCTAGATCAATTAAATTTTATGACGATTTGCGCCCATTGGTGGTCCGTTATCGGATGATACCAGATGACACGTCTGGATCCATTGCGTCGGGTGATAGTGCTGTCTAGGAACTCTCGCCAACTGTCACACTTTTGTCACTATCCTGGTTTCCAGAATTCCTTCTGAGGTTACTTTCGCGCCGTTTCTTTTTAGAACTACGGGATAACCTCGTCATTAAATAAATAGATGAAGTTTTATTCCCAACTATGCGAGACACACCATTAGAGGTGCAGAGTAACTGGACGGAGTTCAAGTCAAGTACGACCTTGCGACCGGTGAATGAGATATGAACGACACCCACAGCTGAACGGAGTAAACCCCTCACGCGTGGTACAAAAGCACATTCCACTACTGCACCGCAACCCAGAGCAAAAAATACTATTCTTTAACGAGGGTGTTTGCACTGATTCATCTGGGAATGGGCACAGGGTTGCGCGCAGGCAAATTTCTTCTTACTGGTTGGAAGCAGAAGTAGAGGTTTCTTTGTGTAGCTGCATCTAATGTCACTCAGGGACAAATACCTGTTGTGTTATGACTATGTTATAACTATTAAGTTGCCACATCCGACATCGATTGGTTAAACGAGGCTGCGCCAAGCTTCTGTGTGATATGGACAATGTACAGCTACGCTTTGAGGGCCATATGACCTACCTGCGCTCATTAGACGCGTTGATAACCTACTTGGGAATACATTTGCACGTCAAATAATAAAAATATCTAGCTACTTAACGGTTTAGCTTGATATACTGAATACTGAAAATAGAGAGCTAGTAGACATAAGTCTGTGTTGTTCCATCGTAGTTATTTCGGGCACGTGCGCGGAGTCACACCACTGATTCCCATGCGTTTACTGCATATTACAGCTGCGTCATATGCTGTTCAGGTGCGATGCGATCCCTGAATCTGAAATCCACAGTGCGCATCTGGGAATTTCTTGAATTTTGATGTTGACATCGCCTCGACTATTTTCTCGAGTACGTCACTCCAGTATTTCACCACTCGACGCTCGTAGTATGGAGGGTGAACTATCCGCTTTAGGTCCGGTACCACTAGGTTTTATCGGTGCCGGCGAGTGCTGCTTGGTCGATGCACGCACGTGATATGTTTGCGTCAGAAACGGTCCTTGGCAATACCAAGACTGGTTGGTTGAAGAAAGGACGGTAACCCGGAACACGCGTCGTCCAATGCTGTCAAACGGTGCAGTCAATCAACGATGGACGACAGTGGAAAAGTGAGTACGTTTCCACATCGGAACCTCATTTTCGCAACTAATCAAAATTGATCTAGTCACAATGGGTACGTGGACAAACAGCGAATCAGAATGAAGCGCCCTTTATGTCATCGTAATTTATATAAGGACCGGTACAGTAAACGGTGGCATCCATCCATGGATGTTACTACTTTCGCGACCAAACTGTAATAAGCTGCACTAACCATGTCATCTCGATTGTTAACGACCGTTTGCAACCACCTTGTCAAGCTCGGCGAACAAACGAGCAACTGAATTGTCAAACTAAGCTACCAATATTCCGAAGCGTTGGTTCAGCTTTGAAGTTGAGAAGGATGCCCACTTCATCTTAACCTTTGATTATTCCATCACTTCTGAACTCGTGAGTTTACACCCCAGTTAGTTAACCATATGATATCCGTAAATTGTGTGCAGGGACGCAACATACACTTTCACTGAAAGTATCCACTGTGCGCGCTAGTACAACCTTCCATCCAATTGGTTTTGGGCTGCGAGCGGACAGTTTGACCGGATATCGGCTTTTCATATTTAGATGCTATTTTCTATCGTGGTGAATGGTAGGAATTCACTGCCATTGCAGCCGCCTTCACTTATTTCTGAATGCTGTAAAGAGTTCATTGAGTTGTAGAGAGCAGGACGGAAAACCCTTATCAGCTCCGTCGATGTCCTATCATTCTTGGTTTCCTGAGTGTCATTGTGTTACGACCTTCATCTGGGGTTCGTCGCAATTGCAGTGACAGTCACAAGATTCCCGCATTCTCAGCGGGTGGTTGTCTAGCAGCCGATGGAAACTTTCATCGAATGGCGTGTCCGCAATTTCTTCCGGTAGGTCGTTCCAATCATTTACCGCTCTAATGGATAGGGTGACATCTATGCGAATTCTCTGTCTGTTTAAATAGCTTCCATGTGTAACCTGGTGTTGAACAGCCAGTGTTGGGCTGGAAGAATTGTTGTAACTCACTTCTAACCTCCCTTAGGAGGATGCGCCTAGCGTAGATAAGATCGCCCCGGCGAGGCCAGAATTCCGGGGAGAACAGATTTAGCTACTGGAGTCGAATGGGGTACTCGAGATCACGAGGCCCCAGAACAGCTTTCGAGGCACCTCTCCGAACCTTTTCCAGCAGAGCGCATTCAAACTTTGCAAGCGGATGGATAGCTGGTAGGCCATATTTTAAAATTGGACGGACGTACGAAGTGAACAAAGGTCGAAAAATCTCAGGAGTCATTCGAGCGAATGATCTTTTTAAGACACCCACCAGTCTCCTTCCAGTGGCCATGTTCTTCAACGTGTCCTGCAATGTTCTAAGGTCAGAAGACACGATAACCGGCTCTCTCTTGTGTGTGGTATTTCTGAGGCGAAACCCACCAATGTGGCTGCACCGTACGGATCATTGGTGCCCATTGGGAGAACAGCGCATTTATCTCAGTTTATTGGCAACTATCACTTGATGGACCATTCGTTTAGCTGGTTTAGAACCCCCTGTAGTCTGTCTGCATCCTCAAGACTGGATACCGTTGACCATAGATTGAGGTCATCGGCATAGACTAAGAAGTCGGTTTGAAATACAGTCACAAGATTGTTGATGTACTTTTTGAAGAGCTCTTGTCCAAGCACAGATCCTTGAGACGCCAGTGAAAGCACTGTACAACCAATACACGTCTTGATCTGTTTTAATCTCATCAGATGGAGACGACAAGCCTCGAATCCGCGACCTATGGAATAGTAGCCGAAACCTCTATCCCTTTTTAACTTGGTAGCAGAGACCCGGAGGTGTAGAAAGGAAGTAGGGGGTAAACAAAGAAGATTGATAAGTACGATATTTTGTTTTCGCTTATCGATTTCGGATAACTTCTAAATGTGCTCATAATTTATGCTGGCTGGAATGCCGCCACATCGCCCAAATAAGCGATTCTTTATCTAAACTCTGACTTACCCGCCTTATTTTCATCAGTAACACGTGATCAGGAGGCTCTGTATCCTACCCCTATTTATTAACCTGTTTGGATCTTCAAGATAACTGCTGTGTACATTCATGAATCAAAGAGATAAACCACCGGCCGCACCCTAAATTACGCGCTCATAGCTCTTGAGTTTGTGCAACCAGTTATATATATATATATATATATATATATATATATATACATATATATATATACATATATACATATATATATATATATATATATATATATATATATATATATATATATATGGTTGGCGACATCCGGTCCCGGATTTGCCTGTCCCGGACACCTACTCCTACAGAGAGACCATGGGGGGCTTGCACTGCACCACCCACAGCTCCAACCGCACACCCCAACTCCAGTGTAAACTCGAAGGAATAAGACCGGGAGGCATGTGGATGGGAGCCACGTTTCATCAGCAGAACCGCTGCACACTCCTTCACAGGCAAGCACAAGCACGATGTATTTGGAAAATTAGGCGCACACAAGGTCGTGGCTGGGCCGTAGTCCGCTCCACACTTGATACATGGAACCACTCTTGGAGCCTAGCACGGCCACGAGGACCGTGCACCCGATCTCCTCCAGCAACAGCCAACTGCCTCCTGTAGCCAGTATAGATGAGATAGTGGGTACTAGACAGGTAGGTACCTTGTCAGCGCTCACATGAAGCGCAGCCACACCGGGGATGTCAAGCAACATCCAATCACTTGAATTGAGCATCTCAAACACAATATATCATAGCGTACGGATATACGGACAGAACTCTTCACTAAATAAGCCTATGAAATTAATTGGTTATCAAGAAATCCGCAATATGTTCAAGGTGTCAGCAAAAGATATTTAAAAACGCTACAAACGCCAAAAGTTAACGAAGTTAACCGCAATCAGCTTAAGCGACATATGCAACTTAATAGAAAATTATTCAGGTAGACCTTAAAATG